CCCCAAAGCCCCAGTAGATAGTTGTCTGTCATAGCTGCACATCCTTCTAGTTGCTGTATGTGGGACTTGGCCTCAGCGTGGCCAGAGAAGCAGTGCGTCGGTGCATGCACGGGATCCGAACCCGGGCCGCCAGCAGCGGAGCGCATGCACTTAATTGCTAAGCCACGGGGCTGGCCCTCTGGAGCAAAATTAAGTTCCTTTGTTAGTACAAGTTGTTGCTTTCTCTATATAGTTCCAGGTTGGATGTTATCTTACATTTTTTGCATTGAACTTTCAATTTCTACTTCAATTTAAGAATATACTCCAAGATGCATCATAACAACGAATGCATTAATGGCAGAAAATAATTTTGAAGGTAGACTCAGAGGTTTGAAGGTCAGAGAAGACCTTAAAGGTAATTTGTATAAGGATCATTTGATGCTAAATCTCTTAACACCCTCATGTAATGTTCAACCACTATTTGAACACCTCCAAACTTTGAGACCTCTATACCATTTGAAAGAGCCCAGGTCATCTTTGGGTAGTTTTGACTATTAGAAAGTTCTTTTTTATTGTTTTAAAACTGTCCCTTAGTAACTTGGATCTAATGGCCTGTTTTTTCAAGGAACTATTTGCCTAGTAGCACTTTAACTATTTCAGTTTGTGTGCCTGAATCTTTTTTCTTTAGGCCAATAACAATGACAAAGAATAATAATAAATCACCACAGTAGCTTCTGTTTATTAACGGTCTTCTACAGGTAGGTCAGACGCTGCAAGGCCCCATTGTATATACATTATCTGGGTGTCTGGTATATATATTATCATCTGTCATGTGTACTAAGCATTTAGAATATAAAGATAATAATACCTAATATGTTTGAGTATTTATGATGGGCCATTTTAAACATATTTTAAACATATTATTAGTATTTTAAATATATTATTTTAAATAGTATTTTAAATATATTATTTAAATCTTAAAAACAATTCCAAGAGGTAGAGACTATTTTTATCCTCATTTTCCAAATGAAGTGATTGAGGCCCTGAGATTGCCCCCGCTCACATCGTAATTAGTAAGTGTCAGCTTTGGCTCTTGGCCGTTACATAAAGTGCCTCTCAGAAAAGCCCAGGAAGATGGAAAGAACACGGTGCCTGCCCTCCTGGAGCTTCCGGGCTGTAGGAGAGAGGGACGCAGTGTGAAGAGGTCAAGAGAGTATGCAAGGCAATTAGGGAGCACAGAGAATAGGCACCTATCCTGACCCAAGGGGAAGCCCAGGGGGGCTTCCTGGAAGAGCCAACACCTACTCAGAAGAATAAGCAGGAGTAGGTAAGTAATGCCCAAGAGGAGGCAGGCTGGGAGAAGGACACTGGGGACAGAGAGGACAGTGTGCAAGGAAGTGTGCTCTGGTGTGAATGTATCCCCCCAAAATCCGTATGTTGAAATCCTAACCCCTACAGATGTTGGTATTTGGAGGTGGGGCCTTTGGGAGGTGATCAGGTCCTGAGGGTGGAGCCCTCATGAAAGGGGTTCGTGTTCTTATAAAAGAAACCCCACAGAGATCCCTCCCCCTTCCATCCTGTGAGGACACAGTGAGAAGGGGCCAGCTGTGACCCCAGAAGAGAGCCTTCACCAGAACGTGACCATGCTGGCACCTTGATCGTGGACTTCCAGGCCTCCAGAACTGTGAGAAATAAATTTCTGTTGTTAATAAGCCACCCGGTCTGTGGCATTTTGCTATAGCAGCCCCAGTGGACTCAGACAAAGGGTATGGATCTGGGATGCTAGAGGCTGCTGTGAAGCCAGTGAGCAGCAGGAAGTACAACTGAGTCACCGCCACTCACAGGTGTGTGACGTGTTCCAGCAGTGTGAACAAGATTTGCATCACATTTTAAATGTAGTTAGGGAGGTTGCTATTTAAAGAAAGCCTTTCTGGAAAGAAAATATTTACACCATGAGAAATCCAGATCCACACATTTTACGTTTTCTTACAGTAGATGAACAGCATTACCAAGGTCTTTTTTTGCCAGCATCATTTCCTTCCCAGGATGTGTGTTCTAAGCCCCCACATGAAGATGCGTGTGCTGATGTGTAATACAGCAATACTGTCTCTTTCCATGGGGGAGTACATCACTCCCACACCTATGTCACTTTCAAAGTCCAGCAAACACATTAACACATGCATAAAATATCCAGATGACCATGGAGTAGCCTTACTTTGCTTATCATTTATCCAAATGTTTGCAGGTTGGATTCGTAATCATTCTTGGGCAAAAACCAAATATTACCACTTAACCTTCTTGGTATATTTTTTAAACCCAGAGATATACACAAGCCCGTCTAGAGAAAATTGAGCCATATCCGTGTTAGCTGGAAATGTTAATCTGCATAACTAAAGGGAGCCAGGTGGTCAGCGGCCCCCACGTCCACAGCCGGTTTTACTCAACAATAACAAGTTGTATGTCAATCGGTTTCCATGGTTTGTTCATCTCGGCCGCTTTGCAGGTGGCTGAGGAGACACAGCTTGTCTCCACATGTTAAGGAGCGAGCAATGTCACATTTTCCCTTAACATGTTATAAACTAGTGTTTCATAAATGTAAGGCTCTTTGTCTGAGAGGGGAGTTTTATCCTGACAGGTTAAGAGAGGATGATGGTCCTCACTTTACTATTTAGTCTGCTCGCTTTTCAATTTCAGTTACCTTATGTTTTTCCTGCAAGAAATATTTCTCTCAAGTGCATGCAAGACACTAATGAATTCCTTTCTGATCTGAATTCAGTGGATCCCAAAGAGTACGCTCTAAGAAGTAAGTAGGTTTGCCTGACCGCTGGGTAGGTGAACACAGGGCAGTCTGACGTTCGTGCTGGAGCATTCTAGAAAAACTCTTGAGAATTAAAAACACAGAACCAAACAGGGAAGACAAGATGAGCCTCAATTTACACGCTGTGCCAGGAATCAAGGAGGGAGGAGGAATTTTTATTGCAGAAGGCATAGAGCAAGTGGTATTAATTCTAGCCAGAAGGAATCTCATGAGGACCAACCTCTTAATAAGACGAGAATTGTTTATAAATTGTATGATGCTGTTTACTATTATTGAAGTTGAAAACATTTCACTGTCGTATGAGATAGCTTGCTTTATTTCCTTTTCTAGACATTTAGTCTGCTTTTGATAATGAATAGCTTCACTATTCAGGTAATGAGTCTTGCCCATTATATGTTTGCTAGTAAATTCTGAGGAGCGTGTTGGTGAGTGCCCTGGCTCAAGTTGGAAGATGTTCAACTGTAGCCAAATCTCTTTGCGTGTGATATGGATGGACTTTAGGCCGCTGGAATTTTTTTTGTTGTTAGTTTCCCAAAATTATTCTCACAATTAGAGGGACACATAGCTTCCTGCCAGAAAGGGGCAGGAAATCAGATTCGCTTTCAGTGGGGCAATCTCTCCAGGAGAATGATTCATTGATGATGCTGATGGAAACCACCAATGAGGAAAATGTAAAAACTCTTTCCAAAGCCAGAAAAACTATCATAGCAATTTCCGCTTACATTTTGAACATATGACTAATTTTTTTGTATTGGAAAACACTTAGCATAATATATGTCACAAAGATAAACAAAAGTTTTGATCTAATATATTGGGTAATTCAAAACAGCACACAATTTGAAGCAATTGCCTTTCTACACTGGATTAGATATCTTGATATTTAATGAAACGGTAGGAAAATATAAATCCAACTAATTCAATGGCCATCTTCAAGTCCCATTTTGGAATTGATTGTTTTGCTACAACACTTGGTGATATTGACAGGGAACATTCTGACAAACCCCAGCCAAACAGGCTGGCCAAGAAAAATCCAGAAGGTGCAATGACTGGCTCAGATTTCTGGTGATGAGGTGATCACACATATTGTCATTGTTAGTCACAGCCTTGTTAATGCTTTATTTGCCCTAAAATCTCCTCTAGTCGTGCACCAACAACGTTCCATCTGTTGGGGCCTGAAAATTGAAATTCTTTTTTTTTCAGTTAAAAAAATTTCCCAAAGATGAATGGTCCAAGAAAGAATCGAATGATTTACATAAATGGGATAGGTGACTGTTACTTAATTTAATAGATGAATGCTACCATCTGTAGTTGTTTTAAGTGATTTTCATTCTAAGGTACCAAAAACACTTGATGTTGTTGCTTTGACATTTTGCCTGAAATTTTTAGCATAGCACATGGTTCTGACCTTCGCTCTCAGCATGGTTTTCCTGACAGTCATGTGGATGAAAAATCCTACAAGTCCGTACTTAGAGAGTACTTTACAGGGCAGGACTGCTCCCAACCCTGTTCAGGAGTTGTCTCATTAAGCCCCCCTATGGGGAGGGTGTTATTATCATCTCTATTCTATAAATGAGAAAAATGAGCCACAGAGATGTAAAATCTCTTGCCCAAAATAAGTGGTCGAGATAGGATTTGAGCCCAGATCATGATTCCCAAGCCTGCATTTTCAATCACTGCCTAAAATAAGCAACAAGAGAAACAAGAAAAATTAAAAGTCAGCAGCAAAAAAGGAATGAAGCAGAGCTACATGTATCAATATGGAGGGAATGCACAGAAATAACACCAAGAAAAAAAAAGTTGTAGAAGAATATATACAATAGATAAAGCTTTTTAAAATGCAAATTAAGGTGCTCTATTGCTTAGGGAGACATACGTCTGTAGTACAAATGGAAAGGAATGCATGAAAATGATAGCCTCCAAATTCACTTAGAGGTTGCCTTGGAGCAGGGGTGGGGGTGGGGGGGTTAGGGTAGGGATGCAACTGGGGACACATCAGATTTCAAATGATGGGTCAATTTTTATTTTTTAAGCTGGATGATGGGAATGTCAGTGTTTATTATTTTCTTCTTTATGCCTTTTTATATATTAAATGTTGCATAATAATGCTTTAAAACTGCATTCCCAATCCAAAGCACAGAGATGATAATAGGCGGGACCTCTAATAATGGGTGGGGGTCTGAGGAATAAAGTGGAGAGAGAGAGGGTCCTTGAAATTCAGGCAGAGATTTTGGGTCTTGCAGAAGGGAATTGGAGTCCTTGCTGTTCTGGAGCAGGAGGGAATCTGATACTAGGAACTGATACGGAGACCCAATCCTGCAGTGGGAAGTATGGATTGCAAGGCGTGGACATTATAGGAAAGAAGAGTGTGATACTGTAACTGCAGAACGAGGTTCCATTTCTCCCTTCCCGCCATCCTTCTCCATTTGGTTTCTAACAGACCCACATCCACCATCTTAAAGGAAACAAAATTCAACAAACAGTTTTGTGTGCTTTGATTTTGCCACCCTCTCGGGTCAAGGTCTGATTTTATCCCCCTTTTCATGCTAGAGTCCTGGGTCAGTGTTCAGTCCCTCTGCGTCCGGTTTGGTTGTATTGTTTTGTTTTTAAACTCCATAATCCACAGAAATCTGCATTCAATCTCTTATCAGGTTTGAAAATCCCACCCTAAAAGAGCTCTGGCATCCTCCCTCCTGATTAATCTTTTTCTTCTCAGTTTTCTTTCTCCTTGACCACAATGGTCCTCCTTAAAACTCATCTATTTCTAATTCAGGGGCAGTCCCCTGTCCAGATATCCTTCCCCATGGGGATCAATCTTATCTCTTCTCTCCTTTTTCTCTCTACCTGACCCCCTGCACCTTCCCCCAGGCATTTTGTTTGTTTCCTCATATACTTTTCTCATAAACTAGTCAGGTTTTAGAGAAAGGGTGTTGAGCCATAGAAACTGTGCTAGGCCGGCCATCCTGAGGCCTGGGTGCTCATCCTGGTTGGGTCAATGGCCAGCTGCGTGGTTGGCCTCACCCAAGCCACGTCACTTTGCTAAACAAGTTTCCTCACCTGTGAAATGGAGAGGCTGTGTTTCTCAAACTCTGAAAATCTGCAGCAGCCTTAGAAAAATTCCAATTCCTACTCCCAGCAATCTGCTATGGCCGCCTGCACTGGCTTGCAAGAGCCAATTTTTAAATTTTCAAGCTGGTTGTGACACATGGTAACTTTTAAGAGTTAAATCACATAAATTCACAATTAAATAAATTATGTTAAGAACAAATGTAATAAATACTTAAAATTTACTACTTCGTAATTATTTTACTATACTTTACTATCATCTGTACTCATGAAGTTCTTTACGTCTGCTGTGTCTGTATGGTGGGAATGTACTGCTGCACATCGCCTTCCAGCCTCAAGTTCAGGGACATCGTGTTGGGAGTTTGAAGTCAGCCGTGGTGGAAGTATATTCATCACAGAACTCGGCAGTCGCTACAGGTTGGGGCTTGATTCATTGTTTTTTTTTTTTTTTTTTTTTTTTTTGTTTTTTTTTTTTTTTTTTTTTCCCCCCAAAGCCGCAGTAGATAGTTGTATGTCATAGCTGCACATCCTTCTAGTTGCTGTATGTGGGACGCGGCCTCAGCATGGCCGGAGAAGCGGTGCGTTGGTCTGCGCCCGGGATCCGAACCCGGGCCGCCAGCAGCGGAGCGCGCGCACTTAACTGCTAAGCCACGGGGCCGGCCCCTGATTCATTGTTTTGTTGACTGTCTAGACTTAAGAAATTGAAGGAGAAAATGTTACAAACACAAATTAAACTTAAAAGTGTGTTGTGTCTATAGCCATTACATTATAAATAGTACAAAAGATGAGGGAAATATTTTTCAGTACTCTAAAACTGTCATCTGATTCAGCAAAAATGTTGCTCACGTCATGGACAAGTGGGTGAAGTCCTGACACACATCTTTCTTGCTTCACATCCATACACTTGTTAAGATGAACAAAAATATCATCCATTGTTCATGTTGGGACTATACTCATTGATCAACTGAAACCATAGGTTGGCTACAGATCTGAGTTTGGCAAATATCAGTGAAAGCATTCTGTGAGAATCAATTGGATATATATGGAATTTATAATAAGGAGTATTATAGATTTCCTTATTATTTGTAATTTATGTGTTATGGGCTGAACTGTATTCCCCCCAAATTCATATGTTGAAGTCCTAACCCCAGTACCTCACAATGTGACTGTATTTGGAGACAGGGCCTTTAAAGAGGTGATTAAGGTAAAATCAGGACATTGTGGTGGGCCCTAATCCAATAAGACTGGTCCTTATAAGAAGAGGAGATTAGGACACAGATACACACAGAGGGAAGACCATGTGAAGATGCAGAGAGAAGACAGCCAACTATGAGCTAAGGAGAGAGGCCTCAGAAGAAACCAACCCTGCTGACACCTTGGTCTTGAACTTATAGCCTCCAGGACTGTGAGGAAACACAGTTCTGTTGTTTAAGCCACCCAGTCTGTGGTACTTTGTAGTGGCAGCCCAAGCAAACTAATACAGTGTGCTATACATATGTATATACATACATTCTCTTTTTGGGGAGAGAGCAGGTTATTAAACATTTACTACCACTGCCTGGGCCCCACCTCACTGCTAACAGAGCCTCTAGGAACTCTATCTAAGAATCTGAATTTTAGGGAAGCTTCTTGCATGATTCTCATAACTGGTGGTTAGCCGAAAATAGGGATGTCAATTTCACAGGTAATTGCTAGTAAAAACATAATTTGGATGAGTTACCAAAAGTAGACACAAAAACCAACACCCCTGTATTAGTTTGCTAGGGCAGCCATAAGAAAATACCACAGACTGGGGAGTTTATACCACAGAAATTAATTTTCTCACAGTCCTGGAGGCTGGAAGTCCAAGATCAAGGTGCTGATAGGGCTGGTTTCCTCTGAGGGCTCTCTCCTTGATTTACAGGTGGCCCATGACCACATTC